CCATCTCAATACGCCCTGATCTCGTACACTAATCGTATTGAACTTGGTGGCAATCGCTTCAGAACCTTCAATTCCTATAGTGAATGTATCAATAACTTTTCCTCATATATAGCGGTTCATAAGATATTTCGTTCCAAACACAGGTATAAGGAGTTGACTCGAGTAAAGAGTCTCGGCGCGCTGCGCCCTGTACAGCCGGTTGCCTGTACTTGGCGCGAGACTCGACCGAGTCTCTTGATCCTTTACAAAGAACATGTATGTCGGGAATAGAATCAATATAGTCTTAAAATTTAAGTAACCGCATTTATATTTTCTTGAAAAAAAAAGAAAGGGAGAAGAAGGAAAACTAAAGGGAAAAAATGAATAAAACAATAATACATGTTATTGTAGTACAATGTTCATACCTTAAAGAATTAATGGTAGACGCAATATATATAATGTACAGGGAGCGTTTTTCTACATATTACTACACACACACTTATGTATACATATATACTTTTTTTACCTTGAGAAACTATACCTTGTGAAAAACTTGTATCTTGGCTCTGTGATGTAAAACAAGCGTATACTCAGTATGGTGGAAAGAGACCTTTTGGTGTTTCCATCCTCTACATGGGCTGGGATCGTCATTATGGGTATCAGCTGTATCAGTCTGATCCTAGTGGCAATTATGGTGGTTGGAAGGCTACCTGCATTGGTAATAATTCAGCTGCTGCTGTGTCTTCTTTGAAGCAAGAGTATAAGGAAGGTGAAACTACTTTGAAGGATGCCATGGCACTTGCTATTAAAGTCCTGTCCAAAACTTTAGATATGAATAAGCTTTCGGCTGATAAGGGTAACTTTACTGTTTACATAGTGTCATATTATTGTATTGCAATAAATCTAGTATGACATAACCTAACCTGACCTATTTGCAGTTGAAATGGCTAGATTAACAAGAGAAAATGGTAAGACCAAGACACGAATATTGCCAGCTAGTGAAGTTCAGGCTCTGATTGCAGAGTACGATCGTTTGGAAGCTCTGGCAGAACAAGCAAAAAAAGAGAAACAGAAACTATAGGCTAGCAAAGGAAACTAACCTAATTTTTACTTTGTATGGTTATGTCAACAGAAAGACTATTGACTGCACGATAAAATAATAAAATAATAAGACTTTTTCTTTATGTTTTAGAAAATTTATATTTTCACTTCACAAGTGTTTTTCCAATATTCCCTTCACCATTAATAAAGTACGGTAGAAACTGCATTTAGACAATTTTTCAAAAAATATATGATTTTGTTGTTGATGTCCAATGCAGTGGTACTGCCCATGGTGGTAATTGATTTAAAATGGATTTATAAGGTAAATCCGCCAATCTTGAGTATAAAAAGTAATGGCTGACGAAGAGGATATCGATAACGGCATCCACATCCGTGGAAACCTGAAATTTAATGGACTTCGATTACATGCTATAATACAATAACAATGAATAGCTTACCGTCATATCTAGCCACAATTGCCAAGGACCTGCTGGATCCGATGCTGAACTTAGCAAAATGAAATAAAGTGGTCTGTCATTCCACGTGATGGTTGTAGTAACGTTGTCAAGCAGTGACCAAGAGTTGAGCACTACACCCGCACGAGGTACCAAAATAAGATTCAAACGATTTGATCCCGATACGTTCAAGTACAATCTTCTAGCTTCGTCAGTGGTACTATTCCAAGCCGCTGTTAATATTGATTCTTCAGTCTGATTAATGGTTGGGGCTTTTGAAGAAACCCAAACGCTCTTGTTTCTAAAATAACACAATGAATTAAATACTTGGCGCGAATTTTGACCTACCTATTAAAATGAGCTTACACAAGCGGAATATCTCTGGTCTTCCACAAGGGCATTCCGCAGTACGTAATATTATTATTACAACTGACATCAACTACTTTAGCATTTTGTAACTCTGGTATTGCTTCCTGAATCAGTTTCGGACTATTTCTATCTAGGTTTAGGATCCAGTAACCTGCATCGGTAGCAATGACGTTGCCACTGATATCATGAAAAGTTCTTTGAGTGTGCTAGAAGTATAACAAGTACGAAAGCAGATTCTTTAAATGCGTTTTTAAAAATCTCATAATACTTACAATGAGCCAGAACCTTTCTGGTGACGGGTCAGTGGGTTCAACACTGTATGGGAATCCCAAAGTTGTGAAGAGAACACCAAAGAGTATGAT